ATATATATATATATATTTCTGGGTATAATAGAAGGAATTATAGGCTACAAATAAATAAATCCTATATTTACCATACATATATTCTTTACACATATACTCACGTAAACAAAAACAATTTAAATAAGCTGATATCAACAAAAGGTAAAACACAAAGCCACACATAACAAATAATCATATTAATAGCTGCATCCTACCATGACCTTTAGTATGTATCTGAATGGTCCCCTAAGGAAATAGTAACTTTCTCACCGATAGCGTTTATCGTCCACTGGTACAAAATCCATTAATAACATGTAATCAGCCATAGGATCCATCCCGAAGATTTTCACCTGGAAGGTGGGAAACATTCGCCTGTCAGGGGAGGAAAGAAGGAGCAGTGAGCAGAGTACAAGTGACCCAGACAGCGGCTGTCAGGTACACTACAATGTGCTAATGAGAACAACTCCTATAGCGTTTTGTACAATTATTTAAAAGAAGCAATCGGATTTGTATCGTTCATCTCCGTTCCCTGACATTGCTCTAGATTGATGAGTGTCGCTGAAAAGCTTTAATTGTAACCTGCACGAGGATTTGGTATCCATTTCAAAGCGAATGCAGGGCAGCCACTAACTCCAGGCTAAACTGAGTGTATCCCTGATAACAACAATCTTCCTTATCTCTGACCAAACTCAAGTGCTGTTTTTATTTTGACTGCTGTGGCATGCCTTATTGAGATCTGAGTTTTCCAGATCTGGAAGAATGTGTGTAAGAGTCTATTGATTCCCCCCGCTGTGTGCATGTATTTATTTAGTGTGTTGTTGAGGAAATGCACTAGTGAAGGTTGTGTGGATAAGAAGTGGAGACAGGGCAGGAATGTCGATGTGTTTTTCCACTGTCCATCTCCAGCCTAGGACTGGGCTCTCATGGATGCCATTGCTCAGAATGGAGTGTCAGCAGAACAATGCAGGGAAGGACAGCTCACACAGACAGACCTGCCGCACAGAACACGCATTTTCCTGATCATTTCCATTTCTGAATGGCGCTTTTAACTAATTTACCCCTCAAACAAGTTTCCATGAGCTCCCAATGTAACAAGATGTCATGTCACACATTCCTGGAAGACTGGCCCTAAACAATGGCAGCAGTCCCCTCGGCCAGGTCCCCCCTATTCTACCTGGATTTACAGCCTGGTAATTGGAGATGGCAGAGCTGTTGACCCGGTCCCCGTGTGAATTATTGAAGCACTTTCTTCAACTGGAGCTTATTTCATTTACCTACAATGGAAAAGTATTATACAGGGCCCGAGCTATCTTCCTGGCCTATTTC